AAATTTTAAAATAATGTGTGAAAAGTGATACTTTTAGCATATGAACAAAAGAAGCTATGGTATTTATAAACAGTTTTAGCATCTATCCTGGCTAGATTATTGTCAACTTGATACAAATAAGAATTACCTGGGAAGAGGAACCTCAAATGAAAAAAATCTCTATTGGCTTGCCTGTATGCAAGTCTGTAGGGAATTTTCTTCATTGATGATGGATATAGGAGAGTCCAGCCCACTGTATGTGGTGCTACCACTAGACCCAAGGTCCTGGATGGTATAAGAAAGCAGGGTGACAAGTCATGGAGAACAAGTGAGTAAGCAGCGTTCCTCAATGGCTTCTACTTCTGTTCTTGCCCCCAGATTTCTATCTTGAGTTCCTGCCCTGACTTCCTTTAGTGACAGACTGAAACCTGAGAGTTAAAAGATGAAATAAACCCCTTTTCCTCCAAGTTGCGTTTGGTCATGGTGTTTTCTCACAGTTATAGAAACTCTAAGGTGTATCTTTAACCCTTTCACTACAGTGTGTGGATTTCTTTGATGTGTTGCTCCCACTTTATAGATGAGAAACTGCAACCCAGAGAGGCTAAGTAACTGGCCCAAGTTAGACAGCTAAAAGACATAGAGCTTGGAAAGAGCATGTAATCACAATGACCATGCCACACTGCTGATGTCTGATCTCTCACACTATCAAAAGGTAGGTCTTATGCTAAGAAATCACATAAATAGAAAATTTGCACCACTCTCCTGTTTCTTGCATTTCTCAATGAATCTGGTAATCACCTCTATTTATTCTAATGATCAAAAGTAACAAAAATCAACCATAACAATATTTTAAGAAATGTGAGACTGGTGAACTATGGGGATGCATCTGCCAAAGAAAATTCATTATCCATAGACTGCTGACATGTTCCCTACAGCTGCATTTTTCGTGGTCAGGGCAAGGAGACAGCTTCGAATCATCTGTGTTCAAGCCCCTGACTTTGCTACCTACTTGCTCTCATAAGATAATTTCTACATATTTTTTCTAATAGATTCTTGTGCTCCTTTCATATCTCACCTTTGCCCCTTCTCCAGCAAATATGTATGCCCTAGTGGATGAGTTGAGACACCAGAGAGAATGCAAAATACCAAGAACAGCTTGGAAAGGACTTGCCTGGACACCACCAAATAAATCATAGCCAAGATGTGTGCCTAGTAACAAAGAAGTATCACTGTTGCACAAATAATAATAACCCAGAGACAGATATTGGGGTTGAAGATGAAGTTTAAAAAAGAAAAAAACAGCCAAGCCACCAGAGAGCTCTTACCTTTACCAAGGCTGGAGTAATCCTGACCTCCAAGTGGCTGGAGACTTAATTACCAGAATCCAGCATGAGACACTGAGCTCCTATTTATATACCTCTCTAGTGCTGAGATTAAAGCTGTGAGCTCTGTTTCTGTTTTAGACTCATTCACTCTCATATAGACCTGGGTGGCCTTGAACTCACAGAGAACCATCTGCCTGTCTCCTGAGTCCTGGGATTAAAGGTGTTTGTCACCACTGCCCAACTTCTACGGCTGTGGCTAGCTTTGCATTCTGATCCCCAAGTAAGCTTTGTTAGACCATAAACAATGTATCATCATACATCACTGCTGGAAAAAAAATTCAGTTAATAAAATGAATTCCTTAGAACAGTGGTTCTCAAGCTTCCTAATGTTGTAACACTTCAATACAGTTCCTCATGTCATGGTGATCCCCAACCATAAAATGATTTTTGTTCACTGAAACCCACACTCAGGGGGTCTGGATCAGTCTCATGCCGGTTTCCCAGCTATCAGTCTGGGGACCAAGAGCTCTCCCTTGTTCAGGTCAGCTGTTTCTGTGGGTTTCACCAGCCGGATGTGAACCCCTTTGCTCATCAGTCCTCCTTCTCTGCAACTGGATTCCAGTCCAGTTCAAGGTTTAGCTGTGGGTGTCTGCTTCTACTTCCACCAGCTGTTGGATGAAGGCTATACGATGTCATATGAATTAGTCATCAATCTCATTATCAGGGAGGGCATTTAAGGTATCCTCTCCTCTGTTGCTTAGATTGTTAGCTGGTGTCATCTTTGTAGATCTCCAGACATTTCCCTCGTGCCTGATTTCTCTTTAAACCTATAATGTCTCCCTCTATTATATTATCTTTTATCTTGCTCTCTTCTGTTCTTCCCTCAACTCAACCTCCCTGCCCCATCATGTCTTCTGAACCCCTCCTCTTCTCCCCTTCTCATTCTCCTAGTTCCCCCTCCCCCTCCCAATTTTCTCAGGAGATCTTGTCCCTTTCTTCTTCTCCAGGGGACCATGTATGTCTCTCTTAGGGTCCTCCTTGTTTACTAGCTTCTCTGGCAGTGTGGATTGTAGGCTGGTAATCCTTTACTCTATGTCTAAAATCCACATATGAGTGAGTACTCTTGTAGTGGATCAGTACTTATCCCTAGTATAGGAATGGACTTTGGGAGCCCATCCCACATGGAGGGATACTCCCTGAGCCTAGACATAATGGGGTTGACCTAGGCCCTATCCCAAAGAATAAGACAGACTTTGAAGACCCCCCCTATGGAAGTTCTCACCCTCCCTTGGGAGCAGAAAGGATATGGGATGGGTAGGGTGTTAGTTGTGGGGAGGGAAAGGGACCTGGGATTGATATGTAAAATAATTTTCTTTCTAATTAAAATAAAAAATAAGAAAAAAGATTTTTGTTGCTACCACAACTGTAATTTTGCTACTGTTATGAATTGTAATGTAAATATATCTGTTTTCTGACGCTCTTAGGTGAACCCTGTGAAACAGTCCTTTGGCCTCCAAAGTGGTTGTGACCCTCAGATTGAGAACTACTGCCCTAGTTTAAGCGTATGCACATTGTAAGTGGCCTAGGGGTTTTTGTACTTGGACTTTCATTGATTTGACTGACAGCTATATCCATGGCAGAGTCACTACAGAAGGAACACACTTCTCCCTGAATGAAACATTTTGCCACTAAAGTGGGAAATTAGCATGTTTAGTCCATTAAAATGCTCAAATTCACTAAAGAGTTGTAACTTAAGTGGGAACTATTAGAAATTCTGTATTCACATATGCATATAAAATTAACGTAAACTCAAATTACCACATTTCCTTCTACAACTGTTTCGGTGACAGACTTTTAAAGTAGCAATAATGTCTTAGAGATCAATAGAACCAATTTCACACCTGTAATGTTTTAGCATTTATTTTCTTGGAAAGGTCCAACTCTCCTTCTGAAAACACATACTCACAAAATCCACCAGGGGGAGATTTCAATGCTGAGAACTTGAAAAAGGAAAGTGTAAGATTTGATTCAGCTGTACTTCAGGTGACAGTTTCTCCAACTAAGCCTAGATTTTGAATTGTGTCTTTTCAAACAATTCTTGATACACTGAGCTCTAGACTGAGTGATTAGGGGAGCCAATGACATATTACTGGGTGTGGTGATAGGTTGTTTATGATTTATTAAAGCTTGCCTAAGGATTCAGAAAGCAAAGTCAGCCACAAGCCATAGAAGCCAAGCACACACCTTTAAACCCAGAAGCCAGAAGCTAGGAGGTGGTAGTACACATCTTTAATCCTACGACTCAGGATTAACAGGTAGATGGATCTCTGTGAATCCAAAGCCACTCAAATCTCCATGAGATTGATCCCAGTCCCAAAGAAAACAGCTCACACAAAGATGATCTCAGCACCTGGGATCACATGCCTTTAATCCCAGCAACAGGGAGGTATATAAAACAGGAGCAAGGTATCAGAGATGGCATTCATTCTCCAGTCACCTTAAGAACAGGAAGGCATATATTCTTTAGCCACACTGAGAAGAGGAAGCACTCTGAGGCTTGGTGAAGAGCTCATGGATCAGTCCTTTCAGCATGAGTTAGAGCTGAGAGCTAGTGGCTGGCTGCTTTGCTTTTCTGATCATCACCTTGAAGTTTGAAGCCCAATATCTGTCTCTGGGTCTTTTATTTATCATGATACAACTGGGTCTTGTTAGTGATTGCATGTAGTGACTGTATGTCTCAGGGAGAATGGGGTATTTGGTTGTGAATGAGATGAGGTTTTGTGTCTCCAGGGCATGGATTATAGGAAAGAGTAATTTGAGGTCATTTCCACTACATATAATGTCAACAATTTCTGGTTTTGAGTGATTTGGGAAGGTTTAAGACTTTGATAGGATACGATTGAAATACTTTGTAAGGATGATAAAAGAAAAATATGTACAAGGGATATTTTTATGGCAAACTTATTTTTAAAGGAAAGACATTACTGCAGAAATCCTTGGATAACCAACACCACCATGTATCAAATGCTAGTACAAATTTCATAAAGAAGTAATCTCTGTAAGGGTATTGCAAAAAAAGAAAGAAAAGATTTGAAGTCCAAGGGTATTTCAAGATTCACTTAACCCTTGTTACCATGCAGGCATTTTGATTTTCATGGTTTTCCCTCCTTAAGAATGTAGAAACCAGATGAAAAGGTCGCTGGTGCAGACTCCAGCTTATCCACTTCCCTACCTGCCACATGACAGATGAGTTTTTTTTAAATACAAATGACACAGCTCTCTCTATCAATAAATAAAAACTTTATTCTAGTGAGACACACATACATGTCTTTGCTCCAGTGTAGTATAGCATACAAACTGAGCATACTCCCCAAAATAAAATGCTGCTTGCTTCCCTTTCTCTTTTTCTTCCATAACCCATGTATATAGTAGATTGATTCCTTGCTTCTGGAAGATGTGTAACTAACTTCTTGCCCAGCCCCCTCCACCCTGCCTCGGGACATCAGTGCACAGAGACAATATAGTTTGAAAAGAAATAGTCAAGCCAGAATGAAAAGATATGTTTGGAACCTAACAAAGCTGGGGAAAAGGAGAACGTTATTGGTCCCAACAATAGGAAGGGGATATGCAATGCTCCCTTCTAGAATTCTGAGAACAGGCCAGAGAAATAAAAATCAATGGACAATTGGACTTTACCATGGGTGCCCAGTTTCATTGATGAGCTCTGTACCTGGAACAGCCTGGAACCCAAAGAAGGGTGGGTTCTGAAAGCTGACACAAGGATGCTCTAGCACTAACTGTGTAGACAAGTGGCCAGCTTCAGAAGAGCCTCCAGATGGATTGGCATTGTAGGAAGCACTGCTATAGCTTGATGTGACCTGGGGGAAAAGGAGCATAAGGAATGGCAAAAAGAAATTTCTTACCTATTAAAAAGAAATTGATGTCTTGCACACAGCATTGGTTTTTTCGAATCACTCCTTTGCTCTTCTCGTGACCTGGGGGAAAAGGAGCATAAGGAATGGCAAAAAGAAATTTCTTACTAATTAAAAAGAAATTGATGTCTTGCACACAGCATTGTTTTTTTCGAATCACTCCTTTGCTCTTCTACCACACAGGCTCCTTGAATCAGATGCAGAAATGAACACCCCCAAACTCCATTGTTCCATTCTGACTCTACTCCAGGTTTTAGATTTCAGACACACTTCAGCCTGTGCTTTTAGTCAGTTTATTTTCTGTCTATTTTATGCCTAAAATCTCAGCCATTGACCAATTTGCCGCCCACTTTCTCCATTTGAGTTGGGAGGTGCTGAGTGGGCAGTTAAGAGATTCCATAATGGCATAAGATCGTTTCTACCACAATTGCTGTAGCTCATCTCAAACCATCTCAGGCCCCAGCTGAGCAGTCCTGGATACATTCCTTACAGTCTCCATGGTTCTTCCCTACAACTGATATCTCCAGTCTCAGATCACATCACTCTTCAAGTACACTGCTTCATTTGGGCATTTTCCCCCCAATAGTAGTTTAACCCTTTATCTAATTGTAGTATAAGGAATGTCATCTATGAAGCAGAAGCTCCCTCACTTTGACTTTGTACTCCAGAATCTTGTCTGTATCCACACTTCCCTTCTCTGCCCTTGAAGAAGCGACATTCCTACCTCGGACAACCTCCTCCCCAACCTCCTGCCCCACTACCCACACTACCCACACTGGCTCTGCTTTGGATTTCTGAGAACCACAGTCTTCTTGGGGGAACTTCCTAACAAGTCTTCCTAATGAGTCTGTCTCCTTTCCTCATCTGCAAGTCATCTTGTGTTCCTTAGCAGCAGCAGTGCTCCAAAGCCATCTTTATTAATCCAACAGTAACAATTTTATAGTTCATTGTATTTGCATATTATCATGTGTGTCCTCACAAACATACATGCATCACCACCAATTCATTTTAATAGCTGAAAAATGGGAGCACAGAAATATTTTTTCTTTTGAATTTATCTAAGATCTCTGGTCTAATAAATGACCAGTTTTAATTTAGCTGTCTAGGTTGTATTAGTTATACACGGAGCATACATGTATGTGTTTGATTTGATGTGTGAGTGAGTGTGTGTGTGTGTGTGTGTGTGTGTGTGTGTGTGTGTGTATACACACGTGGTGTATGTGTGTTTGTGCTTTGTGTGTTTTCCAGTGCATTTATACTTGTGTGTGTGTGTGTGTGTGTGTGTGTGTGTGCGCGCGCGCGTGCGCACGCGCGTTGCTCTTTCACTAACCAGGAGCTTACCAGGTAGGCTAGGCTGGTTGGTCAATGAGCCCTGAAGTTCTCTCTGTCTCAGTCTCCGGAGTTCTGGGAATATACGCATGTGTTTCCATGGCTGGCCTGATTGTGTGGGTTCTGGGGGCTGAATTCAGGTCTTTGTGCTTCTACTGCAAGCACTTTTTTAATCAACTTCATTATCTTGACCGCTCTTAATAGTCAGTATGCTAGCTATTTTTCTCATCGCTGTAGGAAAAATAATAAAGACTTAAAAAAAGCACCTTAAGAAGGAAAAGGTTCATTTTGAGTCAGAATTTGGAAGTGTAATCCTTCATGTCAGGGAAGGCAGGGTTGCAGAAGGTGAGGTTGGTGGTCACAGTGTGTCAACAGGCCTGAAGCTGAGGGGTGAATGCTAGTGCTCCACTCACTCACTTTCTCCTTTTTGTTCAGTCTGGGACCCAAGTCCAAGGGACCATTCCACCAAAGGGGTTACATATTTGAGGTCTCAAAAATTCGGGGGGGAGAGAGAGAGAGAGAGAGAGAGAGAAACACACACAGATACAGAGAAACACAGACAAAAAGAAACAAAGACAGAGCAGCACAGAGAGAGAGACACACACAGAGAACTGACAGTTGCCAAATATCACGGATGTGTTTTAGATTTTACATTCTCTACGTTTAATTAGCCTTTGACTATGTTGGTATTCTCTCCTTCCTACTGATCTTTTCCCTGTTTCCTTGATATTTTCTTACCGGTTGTCTTTATCTTCTGAGCGTTAGTTAGGTGGTACCAGCATCATGCCTCATTTTATCCACTATCCAGAAGAATCCCATGCATTATTGTAGTCACAACTCTATTTTTACACTCACATATCTGGCATAGTTACCCCAGGTCTCATTTGAGTGCCTACTGCCTCAAAGACACTTAGATTGCTTAAATAGATCCAAGCTCAGCATTTGCAAAACTGTATTACTCCTCAGATATGCTTTATTTTACGTATTCATCTAAGCTATATGTATTTGTCCAGTAGTATATGCTATATGCAACTGTTCTAGGATTAGTGTTAAGTTAAAAGATTATTAGGTTATTCTCTATAGAATTTGCATTCTAGTGGAAACTGTTGTGTTTCTATATGTACCAGACAAGGTGTAATTGAGAAACAGAGCCCTTGTAAGTATAATCTACTAAGAAATATATTAAAGAAACAATACCTTATATAATCATAGCAGCCCTGAAGAGGAAGCTGGAGGACCACAGAAAAATTGTTTAGCTGGCTTCTAAAACTGAGCAAAGGATTGGGAACATGGAAATCTGGAGAGAACTAGTGGAGATGTCTAGGGACAGCTGTCCCTCATCACCTCCTACATCTAAGCCCTTTAGATACCAATAACTGCTGCTTTATAGCCTGAGAACACACAGAAACAGTCCCAGGATGCAGTTCAAAATCACCACAGCCACGATAAGAACTGGTGATAAATTCTGCCTTTGATACATTGGAACTACTTTGGAACTCTTTGTCTTTGAATAGATGAACAAGGAGAGAGGACAAGATAATAATAATATAATAGATACCCATCTCATAGGAGCATTCAAGGACATTGTGTGGCAATGGGAGCCCTGAAACTATCAGATGTGTTTAACAGAGAGCCCTCAAGATAAAACTATGGAGCCATTGTTCAGTTGTGCTGAGAGAACTGAATTGAATAAAATCTTCCCAAATTTATGTCCATCCAGAATCCTAGAATGTGATCTTATCTGGAAATGGGTTTTGTCAGATGTAATTAATCAAAGATCTGGAAATCAAACTTTTAAGGATGTTTTAGGGCCCTGTGTTTAATAATTGGTATTCTTATGAGACAAAGAGAAGCCAAACAGACTCACAGGGCAGGAGGCCACATGCACCCAGAGGCAGAGAATATAAAATGAATCCTTGGAGCCACCAAGTACTAGAAAGGGCAAGAAAAGTTTTCTTTTCTCTATAGTTTTTAAAAGGAACATGACTCAAGGACACCTTGAGCTTGAAGTACGGTGCCCAGGATTGTGAGAGATGTGTGCTAATTGATGGTAGCAGTCATAATGCACAAATAAGGTTAGACTATCTGAGACTACATCACAACATTTTTTTCTATTCTATCTAGAATGTCTACTCGCATTATTTTTAAGATCGTGTGAAGCTTTCTTTCTTTTGCTTTTTAAACCAACCTAACATGGGCTTCTCACTAGTGACTCTTCCCTAACCTGGCCCTGCCCCACATTGAACTGCTGCACTTCTTGTCTTATCAGCCCATCTGGTCTGCCATGTTGACAGACAATCAATTCTTGGAGGCAGTTGCCAGCTCTAGCCCATTTCTTTTCATTAATGGTTCCTTCCTGGGAGAACCATGGACAAAGATCCCAGAAAAGGGGGAAGAACTTTTTTTAATTGAGTTCCTCATGCCTTGAGGGATTCTTTGATCCCAGAAAGATGTAAATCTTCCTTGATAATTTTCAAAAAACAAACAAACAAAAAACATAAAAGACATGTATTTTCTATTTAGACTAGGAATTGGGGATCTCTGTTGCAGCCATTCAAAACTGACATACGGAAGAGATGCCAATGAACAGGAGAGGATAAAAAGTCAGAGTCAGCAGAAACTGTCTCATTATTTAAATCTCTCTTGTACTAATTAACTAATATCTAACTAGGAACTTAGACCTTACAACTTTGTCTTTAGATACTGACATTTTTTTTTCACTGTGCTAAAATTACCCTACGTTTGAAATTTGCCAGTTGCACACGCTTTTTGTAGACTGGGGTACAAAAGCCAGGGTGGAGATGAAATACAAGTCCTGGCACACCAATTCTGGGCCCCTGGAAGAATGGCATTGCTAACTTCATTTTGGGGGACAGACTGTGCCAGATGACAGGTAAGGCACAAACATCAAGAACAATAACTATCCACAACCCTTTCCTGCCCTGCCACATGCTTGGGACCTCGCTCCAGAAACCATGAGTGACATCCCTCATCACAGCATGCTGTCAGCCCCAAGGCTCTGCCCCAGCTATCACATACAGGCTGTAGCAATCAGTGAAAACTCCCATTGCTCAATCCCATCCCACTGCATAGCTTCTCAGAGACCTTGACCAAACAGCCACACATGTAGCAGTCAGTGGTAAGATTCTAAGGCTCAGAACTTTGCCCAAACAGCTTCATAAGTTTGAGCACCAGTGGTAAGTCTCCCTTAACCTCGCCATGCCATGCTACCTGCTCTGGGACCTTGTTCAAGCAACCACACCTTAAGACACCATGAGGTGTCTCCAGGTAGCCACTAAGTTGGAATCATCCCAGCATTTATACTCATGAATCAATACTGAGTGTCTTAAAAAATTGAGCTTTGAGTACCTCCTAGTTAGTTGGCCCAAAACCAGCCAAGTTAGGGTAACAACAAAAACAGAACCAACCCCCTCCTCAACACATATGATCTACAAACTCATTAAAAGATACAACAAAAACCCAACTTAACTCCAGATGCCCAGGTCCCAAAGTGAAAAAAAAATTTAAAAAGAAAATAGACTATGTCCCAAACTACTAAGCCTATAGTAATGGACCCCAAAAATGACAGATTAGATGAATACCAATACATGGAATTT